AGATCAGAAATCCGAAATTTAAAATTTCTATATATATTTAAGAAAAGAATGCTGCCAAGAGAATAAAAATTAAACTCCTAGAGAGAATTTCATCTGATCTGCCGGAACCCGGGTTCGAACAAGGGACCTTTAGATCTTCAGTCTAACGCTGTCCCAACTGAGCTATTTCGGCACGAGAAGGATATATAGATATGAGATCAGAAATCCGAAATTTAAAATTTCTCTATATATTAAAAATAAAGCATGGAGCCAAGAGGATAAAAATTAACCTCCTAGAGATAAAATTTAAATCTCTCGATTTCGATCCACATCGAGAGATCCCTTCTCGCCGAAATAGTTGGGAGAGCGTTGACTGAAGACTAAAGAGTCCCTTGGGTGTTTGCAAGGATCAGATGAAATTTTCTTGGAGATTTAATTTTTATTCTCTTGGCTGCATGTTTTTCTTAAATATATTGAATCTTTAAATTTTGCGTATTCCTGACTCGTTATCTATCCTACAGTGCCGAAATAGCTCAGTTTTGGAGGGCGACTGAAGATCTAAAGGTCCTGGTCTCGATCCCTGTCTCGGGCAGATGCATGAAATTCTTCGGAGTTTAATTTTTGTACCTCTTCATGCTTCTTTGCTTTTTAATATATATAGAAATTATTTCGGATTTCTGATTCATATCTATCCATCCTTCACCCTGAATAGTCAGTTGGGAGATGGTTAGACAGTGATTAAAGATCCTTCTACTGCCTCTTCAGATCGGAGAATCTCTCTGAGTTTAATTCTTATCCTCTTTGATCCATGCTTTTTTATAAAGATAGATGAAATTCTTGGCAAATTTGATTCATCTATATCCTTCTCGGCCGAAATAGTCTCAGGTTATCCATTAAGAGACTAAAGATCTAAAGGTCCCTGGTCCGGAATTTGGCAGATCGGAAATTCTCTAGAGCTTACACTTTATCCTCTTGATCACAGCTTTATTTTTAATATATAGAGCAATACGTAACTGGAACGAAGTAATGA